TATATATATATATATATATATATATATATATATATATATTACCATTGTATTTTTATATGAAATTAATGTATATAAAATATATGTATACAAGTTATTGTCTGTGCCTGAAGACACAGAGTAATAAAAAATGGTAAACAATAAATATATTTGTATTTATATCCAAAATTAAATCACAAACATTGAGAAAAGATAAATGAATTTAAATATCGATTGTAGTGGGGGTGACGGTGGTGGTGATGGTAATGGCAGTGGTGGTGGTGGTGGCGGCGGTAGAGGTAGTAGAGGGGCGGATTCAAACACTATTTTTTTTTAAAAATACTTATGAGAAATAATTCTTATAATTACTTTTAAAAAGTTACTCCAAACACATCCTTAGGAGCCTATATTTCTTATTAAATTTAGGGTGTTAGTATTAGCCGTTAGACTAACTTTAAAGTAAAATTTAACACGATTTCAACTGCGAATAATAAAAACATTTTGTTTATCTTTTGAGATTTGAATTGTAATCGACTTTATTATATAGATATAAAAGATATTTAGACAAATAATTAATTTTTCATGTACTTTCCTTCCGATTTTGGAGGGATCAGGGTCGGCTCATGGTAATTTGAGGCCTAAAGCGATAATTTATTATGAGGCCTTTTTATTTTTAATGTTAAAAATTGTGATTAAAATTAATTCTTTTCATTTTTTGAGTTGTAAAAGTATAAATTGAGTTTTTATGTTTAAATTTTGTTATCATATTTTTTTTATTGATAATATCACTAATCTATTTTTTTTTTGTGATAGTCAATTTTAAATAAGATTTTATTGATTTTAATTTTAAAAAACTTCTTTTTGTAGAAGTAACTATTACAAAAATTAATAATAATATTCTATAAAAAATGCATACATTTGAAGAAAAAAATCTAATGTTTTTATATAAATTGGTGTCTCAATTAGAGTATTTTCTTTCATTTATAAAATCTACTTTAAAATATTTTATTTTTAAAATAAATCTAAACTATCATTGTCAAAAAAATTGTTATGTATTAAGAAACATCCGAAATCAAGATAAATTTTTTTAAACTAATCAGTATTTAATAATTTTATTTTTTAAGTTAAATAAACAATCAAAAAAAAATTTTTATTTGAAATTAATATGAAGAGTGAGAATAAAAATGAGAGGGAGGGGCTTTATAGAGAGAGAGAGATAGAGATAGAGAGAGGAGATGTGGTTAATAACGGATAGGTGATTATGACTTGACTTTTGAGTCTACCATCAGTTTTTTTTAATAAAATTTTGATTTTTTAGGTTATTATTATTATGGGATGAATCATGAGTTCAAAAAATTATTAAAATTAAAATTTTTGATTGACCTTAAATTTTAACTAAGGCTTTTTTGTAGAACTTATAATTTTCATGGACTTAAAATTTTAAAGTGGGTCAATTATTTGCTTAAAATTATGGGGCCTAAAGCCCAAGTTTTTTTGTTTCTATAGTTGGGCCGGTCCTGTGAGAGATTGATTTTTGTGAGTTAAAAAGAAAGTTAATCCATTCACTTTTCCATTATTCATACTTTTCTTTCTTACTGAACATGATGTTTTATTTATCCTTCAAACTTTTCATTCTCTTACTTTTTCATCATACCAAACCAAACATTAAAGTCAAATAAATTTTGAAAAAAATACTCACATACCATTATTTTTTTTTTTTAATTTAGGCCTGTCATNAAAGCACAATTACAATACAAAAATTGAAACTTAAATCAATTCAATTGAAACTTAAAATATGAACAAATAAGAACAATAATTTTTTTAGTAACAAATTTCAACTCAAATCATATATTAAAGAGAAACACAACAATATTATTTAAAATCTCAAGAATCCTCTATAATTAAATAGTTATATGATAAATTTTTAAGTATTTTGTTTATTCTTGTTGAGAAATTAATATTGTTAGAAGGGTTACGTTGTTTCAAATCCCAAGAATGTTTATAATTGATCAATTCTGTGATAAAATTGTAAGTACTTTTTTTAATCATGTTGATAAATTAATATTTTTTGGAAGGGTGATAAGTAATGTTATTATACAATAATTTTACAAAATAAGAGAAAGTGTATTATATAAGAGAGACATTGTATTTGACTAATATATATATGATGAGTTAATGAACCACACATTTGTTTTATTTATTTTAATTACAAAAACACTTGTTTTAAAAAATTAATGATATAATTGGACTGCTAATTTGAATTTTTTATTTGGTGTTATGTCATTTAAGTATCAATAAAAATTTTAAATAATATGTTATTATATTATTTAAATTTTAAATTTAATTTTAAAATTTAATCAATATAGCATTCCTTATTCCTTAAAAGAAGAAGTGGCCCCATGCCCAAAAACATAGTATTACTCGTATCAAAAACCAGCTGTAATGTTAATGTTAGACAGATAAAATGTTCTGACCCAAAAAAAAAGAAAAGAAAAGACAGATGCAATGTTTTCCACTATATATATATATGGCTACCCATCATCTGTATTTTCCGGTACTTCTATGGTATAACCTTTCAACTCTCTCTCTCTCTCTCTCTCCTTCTACCTGAACATTTCTCTCTCTCAAACAGACACTCTCTCCCCCTCTCTCTGGCAAGTCACAAACAGACATGTATAAAGTTGCAAGTGCATCAGAATACCTGGTGATCACCGGTGTTGGCATCGGTGACATAAAAATAGCTAAGAAAGCATGGATCCTTCCGGGTCAATATTGCACCGTCTTCGACATCTCACCTGTAAATTACACCTTCGAAGTCCAAGCTATGAGCGCCGAAAAGCTCCCTTTTGTCCTCCCGGCGGTCTTCACCATCGGCCCACGGATCGACGACGACGATAGCCTCCTCAAATATGCTAAGCTCATCTCTCCCCATGACAAACTCTCTCACCATGTCAAAGAGCTCGTCCAAGGCATCATCGAAGGCGAAACTCGTGTCCTAGCAGCCTCAATGACCATGGAAGAAGTTTTCAGAGGAACCAAAGAGTTCAAGCAAGAAGTGTTTGCGAAAGTTCAACTTGAACTTAACCAGTTTGGACTTTTGATCTATAATGCAAATGTCAAACAGTTGGTGGACGTGCCAGGGCACGAGTATTTCTCTTACTTGGGCCAAAAAACCCAGATGGAAGCTGCTAATCAAGCGAAAGTCGATGTTGTGGAGGCGAGGATGAAGGGAGAGATTGGTTCAAAGCTTCGAGATGGACAAACGCTTCAAAACGCCTCGAAGATTGATGCAGAGACGAAGATTGTATCGACGCAAAGGCAAGGGGAGGGGAAGAAAGAGGAGATAAAGGTGAAGACGGAGGTGAAGGTTTTCGAGAACCAAAGAGAGGCAGAAGTGGCGGAGACGAACGCAGAATTGGCGAAAAAGAAGGCTGGATGGGCTAAGGGGGCGCAGGTGGCGGAGGTGGAGGCGACAAAGGCAGTGGCTCTTCGAGAGGCTGAGTTGCAGAGGCAAGTTGAGGTTATGAACGCCTTGACCCATACGGAGAAGCTTAAGGCTGAGTTTTTGAGCAAGGCTAATGTTGAGTATGAAACCAAGGTATGCATTCTTCTTTATCCAAAATATGTCAAAAGAAAAATTATTGTCCAATATTCACCTTCCTAGAGTTTTTATGTGTTGACCATAATATAGCAACATAAACTACTATTTTGCACAGTAATACCCGAACAAGCAAAAATAAAATAAAGAACTTTAAAAGTATTTAAAAAATGTTATCAATCGATATATTTTTATTTAAATACAAAGAATAATAGGATCTGAGCGTTACACAGTAACATGAGTGTAAATGTGAGGGTTAATAATCTTAAAACAAGCAAAACACGATTAGGTGTGTGTAANCGTTAGACAGTAACATGAGTGTAAATGTGAGGGTTAATAATCTTAAAACAAGCAAAACACGATTAGGTGTGAGTAGTTTGTCAAGCTAAATAGTTAAGTTAGTACATTGACAATGATGTTTTTTACTCTTGTATTTGTTGTATTGCCCCGAGAAAAAGAAAATATTACAAAGGGTTCGATCCATTCTTTGTCGGGCATCCTCTTTTAAGTTTTTTGTCTTTATTCAAGATTACATGGTCTCTCTAATTTGTTGGAATCACTGAGGGAATATTTGATTGTTAAAGTCAATCATATCCATTGGAGACATGATTTTCTAGAAGTGATGATGTTGCATTCCTGAGGTGGTGGCTTGTTATCTCAGATAACATGGGTTTGCTTACCTTTCCCCCTTCTTGTGGTTATAGACTCTGAGCTGACTTTAATTTTGGCTGAGTTATTCAGTCATTGCTTCCACGAATGCGCTAAGAGATGTCCTTCCTTAGTTTACAACTCGTAGTTGCAAGGCTTGACCACTCTTTTTACCACATAAGGTCCTTCATAGTTTGGGCCTAACTTCACATGTTTGGGGTCCTTCTTGGCAAACATTAACTTTTTTAAGACTAGATCTTCTACTTTGAAACTTCGCTTCTTAAACCTTTGATTGTAGTATTGTGTTAATTTTCGTTGGTAAGCCTCGATTTTCTATAGGGCTTGGTTTCTTTTCTCATCTAGTAGGTCCAAGTTGAGAAGTAGGGATTGATCATTCTTCTTGGTGTCTGACAGCTTAGTCCTTGGTGAGGGGAGGCCAATTTCCACTAGTGTTGTTGCTTCAGTTCCAAAGACTAAGCTGAAAGGCTTGTTAGTGGTCATCTTAGCCGTCATTTTGTAGGCCCATAGCACACTGGGGTGATGATCAACCCATTGATTATTTGAAGCTTCTAGCCTAGTTTTCAAGGTTTTCCATATTGTTCTTATTGTGACCTTTGTTTGCCCATTCACTTGAGGGTGGGCTGGAGAAGAGTGATAGTTTTTGATCTCCAATTCAGCACATAAATTTTGGAACCTGACGCAATCGAATTGTTTTCCATTATCTGATACTATCACCCTTGGGATTCCAAAATGGCACACAATCAACTTCCAGACGAAGTTTTTCATCTTCTACTTTGTTTTCATTGTGAGTGGCTCTAGCTCAGCCCATTTGGTGAAATAATTAATGGCCACCACTGCAAACTTCCACTATGCCACACCTATTGGAAGAGGTCTAACAATGTCTATACCCCACTGCTAAAAGGCCAGGGGCTTATGACTGGGGTGAGCTCCTCCAGTGGACTTCTCGAAATGTTTGAATGGAATTGGCATGACTTGCATTTTCAGACTAGATCAGCAGCATCCTTCATTACTGTGGGCCAATAGTACCTCTATCGCAAGGCTTTGTATGCCAATGTTTGAATTCCTATGTGATTGCCATAAATACCCTTATGGATTTCCCTAAGCACATAGTCAGCTTCTTCTGAGCTAATGTACTTGAGCAAAGGTCGAGAGAATCCACTTTTGTAGAGTTTCTCTTAGATGATAAGGAATCGAGACAGCCAACTTCTAAGCTTTGCTTCTTCTATTGGATTTGTGGCAGGCTCCTATTTCGAAAAAAATCCATAAATAGGGTTCATCTAGCTCAATCTCTCTTACGTGGCCACGATATCTTCACCATGGTTGTGCGTGATGCATGGCTCCATCAAGTGCTCCCTGGGCACCTTGCTTCCTAGGGCCCTCTGAGGGGCTGTGGTTAATTTGTCCAGTAAATCCGCTCCAATATTTTTGGCTCTGGGGATTTGTTTGATTTATGTGTGAAGAAATTTACTCAGCAGCATGTTCACCACTCCAGGTATGATGTCATTCTCTCTTCCTTAGCATTGTATTTGGCGCCGACTTGCCAGACCACCAGTTGCGAGTCACTATAGATGATGATCTGCTGAGCTTCCATGCATAGGGCCAACTTGAGCCGTGCCACCAGTGCTTCATACTTTGTTTTATTGTTTGAGGTAGGGAATCTAAATCTTAGTGTATATTCTAAGTCTATTGACCTGTGGTGAGGTCAGGATTAAACCGACTCTGTTTCCCAACCTATTTGATGCCCCCATTGACGTGAAACTCCCACACCAATATGTCAGGCACAAAGCCTTCTTTTTGAGGGGTTTTCTCCAATTCATGTTCAGGTGTGAACTCGGCCAACAATAAGCTTGGAGGCGAATTTTCTTGACCTTTTTCACTCCACTATGAGTGGTTTGAAGAACATCCTATGTTTTTCTTGGATGTGGTTGTACTAGCAACCTTTTGTAACATGACATCATCCAAGCATTGATGGATGAGTAAAAGAACTTTTTGATTTTTCTTTGTTGTAGCTTGCAAGGCTTCCTTTTAAGCTTGACTTGAGGAAGTTCATCTTGTAGTGTCGTGTAACCAATTGTTATAATTTTTCACAAGTATTTCATGCAGATACACCAATTCTCACAGTTATCTTTGGTGAACTGAGGCATTTGAAATAGAAGCATTCCATTCGACATCTCTCTCTCTCTCTCTCTCTTTGTAACACTCAAGCCTAACTCTGATTCCACTTTATTGAAATCTAGAGAACTATAACAGACTCATAAAAAAACATAATGGAAGAGACTATTGAAGATAAGAATCACTCTTTCAATTCATTCATACCCAAATAGGTGAATTATGTATGATATATATAGACTCTCACCAAAATACATCCCCCGACACACGAACACACTAAAATATATATAGTAATACACCAAAACATATACAAACACACACACACACACACGTACTAATACACCAACACACACATACACAAACACTAATACAACAACATACACACTAATACACCCAAGAAAATATACACACGCACTAAAACACCAACACACACGCACACACACATATATCCACTAATGCACCAAAAGATACACACACACAATAATACACCAAAGAACACACACACACACACACTAATACACCAAAGAACATGCGCACGCACACACACACACACATTAATACACAAAAATACACACACATATACATTTGTACACCAAAGAACACCAACACACACTCACCAACTAATACCCCAAAACACATACATGCACACACTAAGGTAGTGTTTGATAAAATTGAAAGCTGAATACTAAAAGTTAAATGTTGAATTTTAAGAGGTGGATGCTGAATTTTTTAATTCATAAACTGTTCGATGTCCATTGAAATTTAAGTATTAAATTGAATCAAACTATTTGATAAATACACAAACTTGAAGTCTGAAAGTAAATTATTTTTCAGTTTTACCCTTCCACTATGTATTTTAAAATTATTTATAAAAAATATATTTATCTAACAAAAAATACGGTATATCACTAAAAGTAATTTACAACATAAATTAATCACATAATTACATTGTAGTTTACATTTAACAAACATGATAATAAAATTAATTTAAGTTAAATTGATCTTTATAAAACTATTAATTGATACAAATCAAGAGTTTAATTGCGTTGTAGTTTGTTCACACAAAGTGAGCAAAAAAAATTTGATCAAGTTGTGTTGTTGCTCCTCCCATTTCCAAGTTTGTTAAAGTGTGCACATTCTGTTAGGGATTACCATAAGCAACATTCATGTCAAAAAATTGATCGAAAAATTATCTATGATGCTTTCATTAAAGGCTCTAACATTACAAACAATTAAAAAAATAAAGTTAGTGCATATTGAGGATCATTGACATTCTCATGATTGCTCGAGGTTTAGACAAACCGTGAGATAGGGAGGTTCAAGTGAAGCTACACTAGACGTTGAATGAAGGTCTTTGACGGAAAGACAACAAGGAAATACGCAATTAATCATGGTATTGGTTGAGGTATAAAACATAAGTACTTGTATGTTAACTTAGAGAGTATTAGATAAGGCTTTGGTGAACCGAGAAGGTTCCCGTGATTTTTCCTGACAAATCACTTGTGTTCTTTATTATTTATTGTCTACACTTGTGTTTATTTGCACACACACACACACACACACACACACTATGTGTTTGTTGAAATGATTAATTGAATATTTATCCATACATATTTTACATTGGGTTTGGAATTTGGGAACGCCGTGAAATTGACTGTGAGTGAATTAATTCAAGATTAATTAAAATTAATCATCATGGTTAAAGTTGGTTGTGATGATTAAAAAGATTCTCACATTATTTGGCATATCTTTGTAGAATGAGGTAATTGTGGTGGGTTAAGTTTTTATTAGTAATCAATTAAACATTAAATTGAAAAACCTATTCACCCTCCTTTAGATAAAGTGTCTTGAGCTCTGTGTATAATCGTGATGAAATATCCACATTTAGTTCTCCCTCCCGAAACAGCATATTAATTAGTGTATATGTTTTTTATTCAAAGTACTTTTTCAAGGATATTTATCAAACATGCTTTTGCAAGTATTCCTTAAATCTTTATATTATAGATGATATGTAAGTATTAGTAATTGTGACTTGGCTTTTCACTGTCTTTTCAGAGAAGGTTGTTCATGTAATCCCGCGGATCGATTGTTTAAGCAGTTGTGCAATCAAGCTGAAAAATGTAAACCCTTTGTATTAGTAAGGCATAGGATGTAAAAAACACCAAAACTAGAGTTCCAAAAAACTTGTTTTATATTAGAGAAAAGTTTTTAGAAAGGAGAACCCCTACTATACCCCTAAACCACAAAGCTAACGCCCAACGGATTTTCAGCCGCTGTTGCTTGCAAGCTTAAAAATCTCTCTTTCATCTGCGGATTGAACCTGAATTTCTATCTGTTTTGTCACCAAGCCAGCAAAAACATGGTATATATTTGTCATACTCATGGTATGCATAAACATTACAATACTAATTCCTTGGCTTTCTTATGTTCCCATCCTCGGATTCGTATCCTATACGAAACCTATTTTTCTTAATGGTGAGATTACCCACTACTACATTGTGGGTGATTCACTTCTTTCCCGGTGGATCCTACTTGAATTTAGGTATGAGTGATTAACCGGCGAAAAAAATTGAGAAAAAATATATTATAAGGGATTCAGATTTCTTCTCCCCTCTATTAATTTTTATGTTGGAGGGAAAGGTCTTGCTTTGTGTTTTGAGAAATGTTATTAGGACCTAATTTACTATGACCTTTGAATTGATTGTAGAGCCCATCAAACATTGAAACTTAGTGTTGATCTAATAGTTCTACTGAAACCACATCATTATGTCAGCAAATCAAATCAAATTTTTAAATCCAAATAGTATTCCCCTCGTGTTTTTTATCCTTGGGCAGGGCATTAGATGCTATGTTGTTTGTGGAACTTGACTCAAATGGTCCTCGAGGATGAGCCACTGTTTAATCAATTGGCCAAATCGATTTTTCTCATTTTTATTCATCTAATATAATAAACTTACATCCACAAACACATAAAAAAATTGATATGACAATAGAGAATGTCTACTACTTGGACTTAACTTGATGATTCAGTCCATTGTTGCCGTTGGATTAATCACAGGATTAATCAAAGATCCGAGTATTAGATCGAGTCTACTATCAACATTCTAACAGCAACAATGGTTGAGCCACTAATTTAGTTCCAAGTAGAATTATTCGATGTAAATTCAGTTTAAGAGTGACTAGAATCAGTCAAGGCACCCATCCATGCAGGTGGTAGCATTCCAGTTTGCTCCTGCACAGTCTTAAACAAAGGTGGCAACATCCTGTAGACACCAGCAACCTCCTTCATGGCATCACTCCCACCACCAAGGGCTGCCTCTCCGCCACCCCCTGTCGTCCAAATGCTGATTTTTGGCTGCAATCCATTCACGGCATCAGCATTGATCTTCGCAATTTCTTGAAACAGTCCGCCATTAATCATCAGGTAATCCCTCAGTGCCGCATAATTTCCTCCCAATGCATCGAGGAGGGTGCGCAAGTAGCTGCCTTGGGCTTGTGCAAGAGCCACAAGTCCTTCAGCCTCTTTCCTTTTCGCATATAACTCTCCATCGGCAACCTGTTGACGAGCATAGAAAGCAGCCTCGGCGATCGTCTTCTGAGCCTCCGCTTCTTTCTCCCTCTCGTACAAAATTGCTTCGGCGCCCTTTTGTTTCTTATACAGCTCCCAGTTTGCTTCTTGTACCTTTTGATTTAATCAGAATGTAATGAGNCTTGGACTTAACTTGATGATTCAGTCCATTGTTGCCGTTGGATTAATCACAGGATTAATCAAAGATCCGAGTATTAGATCGAGTCTACTATCAACATTCTAACAGCAACAATGGTTGAGCCACTAATTTAGTTCCAAGTAGAATTATTCGATGTAAATTCAGTTTAAGAGTGACTAGAATCAGTCAAGGCACCCATCCATGCAGGTGGTAGCATTCCAGTTTGCTCCTGCACAGTCTTAAACAAAGGTGGCAACATCCTGTAGACACCAGCAACCTCCTTCATGGCATCACTCCCACCACCAAGGGCTGCCTCTCCGCCACCCCCTGTCGTCCAAATGCTGATTTTTGGCTGCAATCCATTCACGGCATCAGCATTGATCTTCGCAATTTCTTGAAACAGTCCGCCATTAATCATCAGGTAATCCCTCAGTGCCGCATAATTTCCTCCCAATGCATCGAGGAGGGTGCGCAAGTAGCTGCCTTGGGCTTGTGCAAGAGCCACAAGTCCTTCAGCCTCTTTCCTTTTCGCATATAACTCTCCATCGGCAACCTGTTGACGAGCATAGAAAGCAGCCTCGGCGATCGTCTTCTGAGCCTCCGCTTCTTTCTCCCTCTCGTACAAAATTGCTTCGGCGCCCTTTTGTTTCTTATACAGCTCCCAGTTTGCTTCTTGTACCTTTTGATTTAATCAGAATGTAATGAGACATGCACATCAAGTTGCATCATATGGCTCTTTATAAACTTCAAGAGATTAAAGGTTATTTCTATTTACACATAAGCACAAAAAAAGAAAAAAAAAAAAGAAAAATCTATTGCTTGGTGACCCTTTTTTTTGAATTTTTTTTTTATACTTTTTTTTTTTAAGTTTATTAAAGTAATTTTTTACCTGCACAATTTGCTCCTTTTCTCCGAGTTCGTTGTAGCAATGCACATATACATATACGAGGGTATTATCTATAATCGGTATTATCTATCTATAATCACTTATACAGGGCCAACGGGCCTTTTGTCCAATGGTATTTTTTACCTTGTGAAGGTTTTGCCTTCTTGAGATCAATGGTTCAAATTCCTATTTTTCCAAAAAAAAATAAATAAATAAAATAATCAATTACACCGATAAACCACTTGTTTTTTTTTTTGTTCAACAGTCCGAAGCGTCCAGACTAACTTACATGCACTTCAATTAATTTTATCTCCAGTCCGGTCAAAGACAGATAATCTATACCAGAATTAAAAAATTAGGTTTACATAAAAAATTTCTGCATCGCTATCTTAACCTGATTTTATTTCTAGCATTTAGGTGAATCCCTTTTGCAAAACAAGATTACATAAGCTTTTTTTTGGATCGCTATCTTAACCTATACTCGATGTTATTTATTATACTACTTATGTGTGTATAAGATCTAGATACATATATGCTAGAGGATAATGGTAGACTGATAAAAAAGGAAAAAAAATAATGTGAAATTTACATGGTCGACATTACGTGCCTCAGATATTTTATGTTGCAGCAATGAATACTAAATACGAATGAATGATATGATATGATTACTTGTTACCAATTAAAATATGATATCGGTAATTGTCACTTAAGACAACTCAAAAAAATAATATTATTCTGAACTAATTTACTAACTTAATCAATTGTTGTTGTTAGATTAGTAGTTATTGGGAGAGCTAGTAAACGAATACGGTGCCCACCCTATTCCCTTAAAATTTTTAAACTGTAAATTTGATAAATTTTTGGACAAGTTCGAATGAGTTTTTAATGTATTGAGATAATTTTTAAAATGAAAATTGTGAGATGATTNGAGTATTAGATCGAGTCTACTATCAACATTCTAACAGCAACAATGGTTGAGCCACTAATTTAGTTCCAAGTAGAATTATTCGATGTAAATTCAGTTTAAGAGTGACTAGAATCAGTCAAGGCACCCATCCATGCAGGTGGTAGCATTCCAGTTTGCTCCTGCACAGTCTTAAACAAAGGTGGCAACATCCTGTAGACACCAGCAACCTCCTTCATGGCATCACTCCCACCACCAAGGGCTGCCTCTCCGCCACCCCCTGTCGTCCAAATGCTGATTTTTGGCTGCAATCCATTCACGGCATCAGCATTGATCTTCGCAATTTCTTGAAACAGTCCGCCATTAATCATCAGGTAATCCCTCAGTGCCGCATAATTTCCTCCCAATGCATCGAGGAGGGTGCGCAAGTAGCTGCCTTGGGCTTGTGCAAGAGCCACAAGTCCTTCAGCCTCTTTCCTTTTCGCATATAACTCTCCATCGGCAACCTGTTGACGAGCATAGAAAGCAGCCTCGGCGATCGTCTTCTGAGCCTCCGCTTCTTTCTCCCTCTCGTACAAAATTGCTTCGGCGCCCTTTTGTTTCTTATACAGCTCCCAGTTTGCTTCTTGTACCTTTTGATTTAATCAGAATGTAATGAGACATGCACATCAAGTTGCATCATATGGCTCTTTATAAACTTCAAGAGATTAAAGGTTATTTCTATTTACACATAAGCACAAAAAAAGAAAAAAAAAAAANTTGCATCATATGGCTCTTTATAAACTTCAAGAGATTAAAGGTTATTTCTATTTACACATAAGCACAAAAAAAGAAAAAAAAAAAAAAAAAAATCTATTGCTTGGTGACCCTTTTTTTTGAATTTTTTTTTATACTTTTTTTTTTAAAGTTTATTAAAGTAATTTTTTACCTGCACAATTTGCTCCTTTTCTCCGAGTTCGGTGTAGCAATGCACATATACATATACGAGGGTATTATCTATAATCGGTATTATCTATCTATAATCACTTATATAGGGCCAACGGGCCTTTTGTCCAATGATATTTTTTATCTTGTGAAGGTTTTGTCTTCTTGAGATCAATGGTTCAAATCCCCATTTTTCCAAAAAAAAAATAAATAAAATAATCAATTACACCGATAAACCACTTGNAAATTCCTATTTTTCCAAAAAAAAATAAATAAATAAAATAATCAATTACACCGATAAACCACTTGTTTTTTTTTTTGTTCAACAGTCCGAAGCGTCCAGACTAACTTACATGCACTTCAATTAATTTTATCTCCAGTCCGGTCAAAGACAGATAATCTATACCAGAATTAAAAAATTAGGTTTACATAAAAATTTTCTGCATCGCTATCTTAACCTGATTTTATTCTAGCATTTAGGTGAATCCCTTTTGCAAAACAAGATTACATAAGCTTTTTTTTGGATCGCTATCTTAACCTATACTCGATGTTATTTATTATACTACTTATGTGTGTATAAGATCTAGATACATATATGCTAGAGGATAATGGTAGACTGACAAAAAAGGAAAAAAAATAATGTGAAATTTACATGGTCGACATTACGTGCCTCAGATATTTTATGTTGCAGCAATGAATACTAAATACGAATGAATGATATGATATGATTACTTGTTACCAATTAAAATATGATATCGGTAATTGTCACTTAAGACAGCTCAAAAAAATAATATTATTCTGAACTAATTTACTAACTTAATCAATTGTTGTTGTTGGATTAGTAGTTATTGGGAGAGCTAGTAAATGAATAGGGTGCCCACCCTATTCCCTTAAAATTTTTAAACTGTAAATTTGATAAATTTTTGGACAAGTTGGAATGAGTTTTTAATGTATTGAGATAATTTTTAAAATGAAAATTGTGAGATGATTTTGGTATTGTACAAACATTAGAGTCATCATATAATAGCTACGTCCAAAAAGAAATGTATTTTCAATGACATTAATAAATAAAGTTATGATGCAACAATTTTAAAATATGAAAACTAATTGGACGAATTGTAAAATGGACATAATTAATCCAATTTTTCATAAAAGGTTATAATTAGTCTTTTTCGATATTTTTTGGTTTCAGTATTTCGTGTTTAATGAATTTATAACTATCAAATAGGATGTACAAAAATATAAATATATCATCTACTTTTTATCGATTTGGAGAAGAAAATTAACTTGTTAAAGTGCCCACGGAGAAATGATTTCCTAGCTCCGCCCTCGTTAGCGGTTGATTCTAATATTAATTATCAACGAAGATCATTCCTATTACCATAAAAATTGAAAAATACTATTTGAATATAATTTAAGAATTAATTTAATACAATTATTGAATTGAAAGTGAATTTTATTAAACATTAAAATTCACAAATATTCTAATAATTGAATTGTAGTGAATTAAGTCCTTAATTAAATTAAATTCATTCTAAAAAATTAAATCTAACTAAATCAACAAATTATTTACAAAAAATAATATTTTTTTAATCAGAGGACAACGGATACCTTGGTTTCATACTCAACGCTAGCTTTGCTCAAATAATCAGCCTTAAGCTTCTCCGTACGAGTCAATGCATTCATAATCTCAACCTCCCTCTGCAACTCAGCCTCCCTGAGAGCCACCGCTTTTGTAGCCTCCACCTCCGCCACCTCCGCCTCCTTAGCCCATCCAGCCTTCTTTTTTGCCAATTCGGCGTTCGCCTCCGCCACTTCTGCCTCCCTCTGGTTCTCGAAAACCTTCACCTCAGTCTTCACCTTTATCTCCTCTTTCTTCCCCTCTCCTTGCCTCTGCGTCGATATAATCTTCGTCTCCGCGTCGATCTTTGCCTCGTTTTGAAGCGTCTGTCCCTCTCGAAGCTTCGAGCCGATCTCTCCCTTCATCCTCGCCTCTGCAACATCAACTTTCGCTTGATTCGCAGCTTCCATCTGAGTTTTCTGACCCAAGTAAGAGAAATACTCGTGCCCTGGCACGTCCACCAACTGTTTGACATTTGCATTGTAGATCAAAAGTCCAAACTGGTTAAGTTCAAGTTGAACTTTCGCAAACACTTCTTGCTTGAACTCTTTGGTTCCTCTGAAAACTTCTTCCATGGTCATTGAGGCTGCTAGGACACGAGTTTCGCCTTCGATGATGCCTTGGACGAGCTCTTTGACATGGTGAGAGAGTTTGTCATGGGGAGAGATGAGCTTAGCATATTTGAGGAGGCTATCGTCGTCGTCGATCCGTGGGCCGATGGTGAAGACCGCCGGGAGGACAAAAGGGAGCTTTTCGGCGCTCATAGCTTGGACTTCGAAGGTGTAATTTACAGGTGAGATGTCGAAGACGGTCCAAGATTGACCCGGAAGGATCCATGCTTTCTTAGCTATTTTTATGTCACCGATGCCAACACCGGTGATCACCAGGTATTCTGATGCACTTGCAACTTTATACATGTCTGTTTGTGACTTGCCAGAGAGAGGGGGAGAGAGTGTCTGTTTGAGAGAGAGAAATGTTCAGGTAGAAGGAGAGAGAGAGAGAGAGAGAGAGAGTTGAAAGGTTATACCATAGAAGTACCGGAAAATACAGATGATGGGTAGCCATATTATATATATATAGTGGAAAACATTGCACCTGTCTTTTCTTTTCNGAGAAATGTTCAGGTAGAAGGAGAGAGAGAGAGAGAGAGAGTTGAAAGGTTATACCATAGAAGTACCGGAAAATACAGATGATGGGTAGCCATATATATATATAGTGGAAAACATTGCATCTGTCTTTTCTTTTCTTTTTTTTTGGGTCAGAACATTTTATCTGTCTAACATTAACATTACAGCTGGTTTTTGATACGAGTAATACTATGTTTTTGGGCATGGGGCCACTTCTTCTTTTAAGGAATAAGGAATGTTATATTGATTAAATTTTAGAATTAAATTTAAAACTTAAATAATATAATAATATATTATTTAAAATTTTTATTGAGACTTAAATGACATAACACCAAATAAAAAATTCAAGTTAGCAGTCCAATTATTTCATTAATTTATTAAAACAAGTGTTTTTGTAATTAAAATAAATAAAACAAATGTGTGANGAGTAATACTATGTTTTTGGGCATGGGGCCACTTCTTCTTTTAAGGAATAAGGAATGCTATATTGATTAAATTTTAAAATTAAATTTAAAATTTAAATAATATAATAACATATTATTTAAAATTTTTATTGATACTTAAATGACATAACACCAAATAAAAAATTCAAATTAGCAGTCCAATTATATCATTAATTTTTTAAAACAAGTGTTTTTGTAATTAAAATAAATAAAACAAATGTGTGGTTCATTAACTCATCATATATATATTAGTCAAATACAATGTCTCTCTTATATAATACACTTTCTCTTATTTTGTAAAATTATTGTATAATAACATTACTTATCACCCTTCCAAAAAATATTAATTTATCAACATGATTAAAAAAAGTACTTACAATTTTATCACAGAATTGATCAATTATAAACATTCTTGGGATTTGAAACAACGTAACCCTTCTAACAATATTAATTTCTCAACAAGAATAAACAAAATACTTAAAAATTTATCATATAACTATTTAATTATAGAGGATTCTTGAGATTTTAAATAATATTGTTGTGTTTCTCTTTAATATATGATTTGAGTTGAAATTTGTTACTAAAAAAATTATTGTTCTTATTTGTTCATATTTTAAGTTTCAATTGAATTGATTTAAGTTTCAATTTTTGTATTGTAATTGTGCTTTGAATATTAATATATTTCTCATAGCTGAACTTTAAAAATAAAATTTACAATCAATTTAATCCTTGTTATTGTAGGTGGGAGAGAANAACTTTAAAAATAAAATTTACAATCAATTTAATCCTTGTTATTGTAGGTGGGAGAGAAATTTTTACACCATTTAATTAATTTTTTTATTTATGTTTTTGGCCCCTGGCTTAATCTTAGACGCCCTGGAAAATGGAATATTAGGTTGATATTTATCATANTCTTAGACGCCCTGGAAAATGGAATATTAGGTTGATATTTATCATAGAGATTACAATGGAATTTCTTTGTAATTATCTCCAATCATTTCTATGTTTTCAGTTTGTCTGGCTGTCATTGCAAGGATTGAATCGACGAATTAATAGGTTAAAAAAAACAGAGGAAGTTTCGGTTGGTTTTTCCTTGGATTTTTGTGATCCATTAAAATCAAAGTATGGGTAATATTAAAAATGAAAAACGACAACGTTTCTATCAAGTATAGTCAAAGCTCCCGCTTCCGTACATACTAAATGCAGGAGATTGATAGGGACATACCGTACACGGATTCAACTTTCTCAGATAGTTTTGTTTAATCCAGGACGGCAATAATCTGTCTACCCCACGGACTTTGACTACTGATGTGTTTGTTAATCTAACTTCAACCTTTAAAATGAATTTGGCATTTATTAATGGGTTAATTGATTCTCAAAGTATAGAGTTTATTTTATTTTAATTTTTAATATTTTAATTTATAAAATATTAAATATATTTTTATGTGATCCCTTAAAAAAATAACATTCAAATTACTAACAATTTTTTACTATAAATTTATCACGTAATATTTAAATATAAGAAAAAAAATAATTTAGATAACTCTTATCTAAATTTTTATTCAAATATTGGTTAAAGTGTTACCCAAATTATACAGTTTTGATCATAAACTATCTAAATTTTGGTCAAGTGTTAGCCATATTACATATTTTTTGCCAAGAGTTGTCCAAAATTTGGTTAAAAACTACCTAGATTATTTTTTGTCTATCTATATAATAAAGTATAATACAATTCAAATTTTAAAAGATAAATAACATAATTTTTACTATTCGTCGTTGAGATCTCTGTCAATTTTATTTTAAAGTTAATCTGACGGCTATTATTAACACTCCAAATTTAATTAAAAAAAATAGTCTCTTAAAGGTGTGTTTGAAGTGACTTTTTAAAAGTACTTTTAATACTTATAATTTCTCATAAATACTTTTAAAAAAAAAGTAATGTTTGGAACCACTTCACTACCACCACTACCACCATCACCCCCCATCACTCCATTATCATCACCACTATCACTACCACATCCACATCCACTATCGCCACCTCACCACCACCACCCGCCGTCTCACCACAATCATCACCATTATCACCACCCCCCTGCCCTTTATCATCACCATCGTCGTTGTCACCATACCACTCCTATCATTACCACCATCATCATTCCACCATCACCACACCCCAACTACCACCATTTCCATTACACCCACCATCACCACCCCCACCACTATCACCTCTACCCCACCACCACCCTGTCACTATCGCCACTCCACCATCACTTCTGCCACAACAACCACCACTACCCCTTTCTATCACCATCATCGTCATTACTACTGCAGTCACCCAACCACCCGTACCGCCTGACCACCATCCACACTATCCTCACCACCACTATTACCACCACTATTGTCACTTTTATCCCATCACCACCGTCACTGTCCAACCATCACCCTTACCACCATTATCGCTTATCGTCTCACCACCACCCTTCACGACCATCACCACTACCACCACTATCGTCATCGCCACCGTCGCTACCCTCACCATCGCCATTGTTACCCCATCACCACTACCATCACACACTCTCACTATAACCGATGTTTAAATTCAGTAATTTGTTCTCTATATTTGTGATTTAATTTTAAATGTGAATACAAATATATTTATTATTGATTATTTTTTTATTATTCTGTGCCTTCAGGCACAGGTAATAACTAATATTTATATATCACGTAATATGTTTACGATAAAAAATCGTTAGTAATTTAGATGTTGTTTGTTTGAGATACCACATACAAACATATTCAATACTTTAAAAATCAAAATGATGAGATTAAAAATATTGAGAATTAAAATAAGACAAATTTGAATATCTAAATACATTAAATACTCCTTAAAAATAAAACTATAATCATTTACTTAATTTTGAAAGCTAAAAGCGCTTAGTAAAAATATCTTTAATAATTTTATAATATAATAATTTTACACCGAAATATTTCACAATCATATTAAAACTTTAATTAATCTTTTCTCAAAAACCCCTAATCTATCTATCATCTCCCCCCCCCGCCCGTCCTCTTTTTTTTTTTTCTTCTTTGGTGGTAGTATATTTTATTCCCTCCTCTTCTGCAACACAAACACACACACACACATAGACTCTGCGCACATATACACATATAATTACACACACTCTGCACACATGCATACACAAAGAATTACACACACACTCTGTGCAGACTGCACACATATTAAAATCTAAATATTCTAATTTGTTCTATTTTTTGTTGAAAAAAAAATTTAATTTATTCTATTTGATTAAATATTTTTGGAATATTTATTAGTTATTTTTCACTTATTTTATTATTCAATATGTAGATTATAATATGATAATAGTGATTACATTTATGTTATTAATTAAAATGATTTCATGTATCGTAATTTTTTATTAGATAAAATTATATTTTATAAATAATTTTAAAGTAAAGAAATGAAGAATAAAACTGAAAATTAATTTATTAAATTTATTTTTAAACATCAGCTTTGTTTAGTTATAAAATAGTTTAGTTCAATTTAGTATTTAAATTATAGTGGGTACCAAATATTTCACGAATTCAACATTCAACTTTCAATTTTCAGATTTCTGCATTTAATTTTATCAAACATCACTTAAGTTATGGAAGTAAAAATTTCAGTGTCATACCTCTAATTTTTACCATTTTAATTGGTGTTACTATAATTTTATAACTAAAAAATTTATCACTTTTGTAGGTAATTTATCATTATTGTGGGTATTTTTATCACTGTTGTGTGGGTGTACATTTGTAGTAACTATTTTTACCATTTTTCTTTGATACAAAAAAATATATTATTTTTGTGAATAATTTATTACTTTTGTGAATATTTTTACTACCACTGTAGTAGCCATTTTTATTATTGTTTTTGGTATCAAGACAATAATCAAAGCATCCACAAAAAATTGTAAAAAATAGTCAAAAATATGGTAAATTGAAGCATGGTATCAAAAAAAAAAATTGGTGTAGTAATCAACTCTCCACCAATGCCTCTATAAATTGAGACACAATTTTAAAATTGACATGATTAATAAATATACATAATAAATGAGTTAGATTAATGTTTAATACGTATCACACAATAAATGAATTTTTTTGTAAATATTGACACAAATACTATATAATTTACGCAACACGATACATTAAGAATTGACATCCCTAATTTTATGGGTCCAAGTGGGTCACCGTGTACCCATAAACATTGTTTTTTTTTATATATATATTTTAGTATTATTAAAATTAGCGATTATGATTTAAAATAAATCAATGATTAGGATTTATTTT